CGCTTGGGCTCCTTTGCAGCGTCGCAGTCTGCCTGGTCCTAGCTATGAACCTTCCTCAAAATCCCGCCTTCAGGTGATGAATCAGTCCCAAGAAAGGCAATGAAGCTCAGACAAGACATAGACTACCTGAAAGAGGATCGATGTAATAGAGTTGAGGGGCTAGGATTAGCAGGCTAAAAGGAAAGAGTGCAATCAGTGCTCTGAGAGGACGTAGTCCCTTCGGGAGTGAACCTCGACTGCGCAGCATATATAGGTTTGGGGAGATGACGCCCTTTTCTTATATTAACATTTCTTTCTTCTTTATATCTTATAGTGTCTCTTTTTACAGCCTGCTTTCAAACCTCGGTATAACACTGGGCGAAGGCCCCAGAAAACAGATCATTAGACAGGATAAGAGCTGCGATAGTGCACGGCATCGAATTTCTAGGTCACGGACTTCGAATAAAGCCATACGCTCCTGGGCCTCAGAAATGGCATGAACGAAAGCACTTGGCGGAGAATACTAAGGCCTTGCTTACCACCACACAGGTTGTTCACGCCGACGCGGGAAATTCACCCACTTTGCCTCGGCTGCTCGATCATCTTCGGCTAGAGCTTTACGATCGAGTCTCTTGCCTCCTATATGGTATATGGCTGCTTCCCGAAGAATTCCGGATCCAATATTCCACCTTGTACTTCATTAGGCCAGGACTGACATGCCCAAGGCGAATTTGATTTGCCCGTGCGATCGCACGTGTTGCCAACACGCTTCGGAACGGTTTCAGCCTGGGAATTAGACTAGAATATATAATAAAGACTTCCCATCTCGAGTGGAAAACCCTATCGAGGCAAATGCAAATGGGGGGATAAATATTGAAACTACATTAGCTTCTCGAAATGGATTGAAAGCGAAGGTGAATCCATAGCTCCAACCAAGGAAGGAAGGGTGGACGAGCAGAACTGCTACTAGTTCGCTTAAGGGTTGGTAAGGGTTCAACTATGACGGAAAACCCTAATCTATTTAGCAAGTGCGTATTCGGGAAGGAGATGAACCAAAAACAGCAATAACTACAAGGTATGGCTCGTACGAATTTAAGGTTATGCCATTTGGATTAACCAACGCCCGGCTACATTTTCGACTTTGATGCAAGAGGTGCTCCGGGAGTTCCTCGACGATTTCGTGGTGGTGTACCTAGATGACATCGTCATCTATAGCAAGGATATGGAGGAACACATCAAGCACTTGAAGAAGGTGTTCCAAGCATTGCGGGAATTCGAAGAAAAATCATTATTGAGCGTCCAAGACCATACATATTGATAGATAGGACTGGTATTTATTTGTTCAATAGAAAAATTAGTTGAAAAAATCATGACTAGACTTAACAATAAAATAGTCGGAGAGTGCACAGACGATGCAAATTTTTTGTTGCTGTCGGAAAAAGAAGAAGTCCTACTCCTATTAACATAGGAACTGGAAGTGGAATGAAAGGTATGATCCACCCATATTGATATGTCTGTTCCATCAATTTTTTTGAATTCTTTTTGAACGACCTTTCCCCCATAGACATATTGAATAGAAAAAGATATTTTGATTCCACTGTATTTTGAAAATTAATGTTTAAATGTCCTTCAAAAGTAAGTAAATAGGTCCGAAACGTATAAAATGCGGTTAATCCCGCCGTGATCCAAGCTATATTGCGAAAATAGGCGAATACAACCAACTATCATCAAGAATTTCATCTTTTGACCAAAAACAAGCAAGAGGTGGAATACCACAAAGAGAAAATGTACCTAATAAAAAAGAAGTTTTGGTAATCGGTATATGCTTTGTTAAACCACCCATAAAAACCATATTCTGATTTTTATCGGGGGAATAGCCAACAATACTTTCCATTGAATGAATAACAGATCCAGACCCTAAAAGAATAATGCTTTTGAATAAGCATGAGTAATCAAATGAAATAAAGCACTTCGATAAGACCCGATTCCTAGAGCTAGCATCATATAACCCAATTGAGACATTGTTGAATAAGCTAAACCCCTTTTAATGTTTTTAATGTCTTTTTGAGCAAGAGCTAAAGTAGCTCCTAATAATATCGTAATTATGCCTATCAAGGAGATGAAATCCATTATATTTATATAAGGTATAACTATAAAAGAGGAAGAAGGCGAGCTACAAGAAAAATACCCGCTGCTACCATAGTAGCGGCATGGATAAGAGCCGAAATAGGAGTGGGACCCTCCATAGCATCAGGTAACCATACATGAAGCGGAAATTGTGCGGATTTAGCAACTGCACCAGCAAATAATAGAACAGCACACAAAGTAACAAATAGAGAATTGACTTGATTATTGGAAACCAAGTTATTAACCATTTCGAATAAATCCCGAAATTCAAAACTACCTGTTATCCAATTATCCAAAAAAGACCAAAAATTCCATAATAAAACCAAAATCGCCCACACGATTTGTTACAAAAGCTTTTGACAAGCATTTGCTGCAAGAGGTCGTGTGAACCAAAACCCTATTAATATTAATAGATAGGAAACACATTCCAACCAATTCCCAAAAAATAGAAATTTGTATCAAATTGGAACTAGTAACTAATCCCAACATGGAAGTACTGAAAAAACTCATATAAGCAAAAAATCTCAAGTATCCTTGATCGTGAGCCATATAATTATCACTATAAATAAGAACCATAATTCCAACAGTAGTGATTAATATTGACATAATAGAAGTAAGTGGATCGATCAAATAGCCGAATTGCAAAGACAAGTGCGAGTTTGGGCTACAAGAGGTCGGGTTCTTAGGCCATGTAGTCGGAAATGGCAAGATCAAGATGGAGGCGGGGAAGATCAAAGCCATTGTTGATTGGGAGACCCCAAAGTCGGCATCGGAGTTACGCTCTTTCCTTGGCTTGGTAAATTACTACCGGCGGTTCATCAAGGGACATTCGGTGATCACGGCGCCGTTAACCAATATGCCCCGGAAGGACAAGGACGCGTGGGAATGGACACAAGAATGTATGAGGGCCTTTGAACAACTAAAGGAGGCGGTCACGAAGGAACCGGTACTCGCACTACCCGACTTCACCAAACCATTCGAAGTGATGACGGATGCTTCGGATATAGCCGTTGTATCTGCAATCTCTGGCACCCCCATCTATTTGCTAACCGTTCACCCCTTCTCCTTCCGAGCCGTTCTAACTTATTGTTGGATCGGGAGTCACAAGAACCATCTCGTCTTACGCGACGTTGTTGCCTATAATTAGAATAAATTCGAATAAGGGCCTAGGGCTACCCATCGATCCCGAAGTGGGTTGGCTGAAGGCCAAAGTCAAAGTACGGGGATGTAGACCCCACCTTAGGTGCTGAGTGGTGTCCTCTCCTCCCTAATACCTAATACAGAATTCCGTCTATGGAGCCTAAAGCTTCTTTCTAAACTAAAGCATGGCAGTAGCAGTAAGTTGGCCTAGTCTGACGCCCAGCCTTCGCCTTCTTCAGTGGCCGAGTTGAAGCGTTCAACGGTTCTTCGCCACCTTTCTTTTTCAAGGTTGAGCTTGTGAAATGGAAGCTAATGCTATGCCCCTTGTTCAAGAGAAAGCGAGGACTTTCTTTTAGCTACCGGCCCAAACAAAAAAAAGAGATTAGCCTCTTGATCGATCGATTGATTGGATCGAAGCTAAGATAGCTTGACTCAATTGGAAGATAGGGGGTTGATTGAAGTGTGAGATCAGCCCAAGACTAAGGCCGGGCAACTAGCTGCTGCAGGATTTCCCGTCTATCTATCTCACCACGCTCCCCTACTCCTAACTCCTAACAAGGCTGCATATGGTGAAAGAAGTGGATGAGGAGTGGACTGCATTGAACAGAATGCTCGTGGTCGCCGGCTAACACAATGCAGGGGAGACTAGCCGAGAAGCCTAAGCTAGCTATCACCCCAGCGGAGTCTAGTCTTCTTATCGAGATGAGCATGAGTGGTCAAGCCCTGCAATGAGATCATGCGCCCTGGGCTACTGTTGTGTGTTCCGATCCTTCCAGTGAGAGCTTACTCCGCTGTTCGTGGTGGAGTAAGGGCTTAGGATTAGGGGTAAGGGCATGCCTTAAGGCAGCTCGTGACCCAGCATTAGACTGAAGTCGTTTTTGTTTTGGCATTTGTAGCCGAACCACAGCTCTCAATCCGATACTAAGAGTTTGCTTCCTTAATGGCGTAATGTAAAAGATAGCAGAGAGTAGTCAGTGTCAGTAGCTCCTCTTTGCCCGAGTGCGGGAGTCAGAGCAGAGGAAAGTAAGTCAGCCGGGTACGGCTTGTATACAGGGATATAATCGACCAAAGTAAGTGGATGGATCCCCATGAATATGGAACCGAACCCCGGCTTGCTGTCTGAAAGGCTTCTTTCGCGAGGAAGCACTTCGCTCACCACTTGAACGGACCGAAGGACACACCACAAGCTTCATTCAAGCATTTCCTCCATAAAGCAGTTCTTCCTTTCCATTTCATCACTTCAAAAACCTACCTTTCAAACTTTTATAGCAATCAGGTAAGGCCGAGGCTAATAGGAAGTACAGATATTCATTCAACCAAAAACCAACCACCGAACCGAAACCGATCGGGGAGACCGGGGGATATTTTATCAATCACAGCCCGGAAAGGAATTGACAGACGGGATGAAATAGCCGCTTGAGAAGAAGCGGCTTATTCGAGAACACCGTATTCAATTGCGACAACAACTCGAAAAGCGAAAACAGCTACTTCTGTGGCATTTGTCCCTGAGACGCCAAGATCTTCCTTCTTGCCTTGCCTTCCTCTTCACTTCGAACCTGGTATCCTAGATGGTACGGGATAGCAGGAATCAAAGAATCAATAAGGATGTTGGGCGGGGAATCAAATCAAGAGAACTTTATTATCGCGGCATTCCAACAAAAAACATCTCCCAAAGTTGCTATGAAAATGAAAGTATCGCAGTTCGATAAGTCAGGACTAGACTCAAAAAGGTCCACCGTTTCTAGCTTCATCGTACCTGGTTTTAGTAGTCAAAGACTGTATACTTCGAAATGTCTGAGGGGGAGTCAGGGTCTTTCTTTGAACAGGTCCTTATTAAGGAATGGAAATGTCAAGTATTACGGGACTGAGAAGGAGTCTCAGGAGCCAACTAGACAAGATCTAGGGTTTAAGACCCTACAAATCTTAGGGAGATTGAAGGTCGCAATCCTTCTCCTGTACTTTCTTTGGCCCTTGCCACAAGCGAGGGCAAGTTCCAGCTTCGACTCGGCCCCCTGGAGTTCCTAACCGAGGGAGGTTCAAACCTTTTTCTTGGCTTACCGAGCCCCCTATTTTTCTCTTTTGCCCTCATTCCCGCCGTTCCATCAATTTTTTATTGCTAGCAATAGCATATTGTCTTTATCGCATTTTTCTTAAAAAGGAAGAAGGTTTAGAAAAAGGGAGAAGGGGGACCACCGAGTCCACTTGACCAATTTGAGATTGAGCCATTGATTGGTATTCTACTATTTTTCCGAAAAATCTGAGAAAAAGGACCGGTCTAAGGTTGAACCGGAGGGAAGGAGGTAAGGTAGGGCCTTTCCAATTGATAGCACCTCTATAATACTTTCTGATTGTTCATGAAACTTGCTCCTGTCTTTCTTCTTGATTCTGTATTGTATCTTTGTTTGATTTTTCTGTTTCTTGTGTTTTATGAGAAGAGTACTATTCGCAATCTTTCATAAACTTCTCATCTCTGCCTGTGTTGATGCTGTTCTGCCTGTCTTTTCTAAGTGTATATTCCTTATTGAAAGATTTTCTTATTTTTGATTCCTGCTCCCTTGCCTATTGGAGCTAGGGTTTCTTAGCTCTTCTTTGTTCGTAGTTCCTGGTTGTTGTCTCCCTTGTTAGGAAAGATGTTCACTCATTAACTTCCTAGCTACCCTCTCTCTGATTATACGATACCACTGGCAAATTGAATCGCATTCTAAAGTCCTTTTTACATGCCTACATGCCTGACATTCTTAGGGAAGGAGTATCCTCTATCCGGTGAGTCAGGACCGAACCTAGTAAATAGGAGTTCGCTTTCCACTGAGCCTTCTTTAATGCTTTGATCGGGCAGTGCTATCATTTACCATTTACAAGCCTAATTACAAGCCTAAGGGGAAGATCGGTACATCGATTCATCGGCCAAAGAAGGGGCCCTCTTCACCAACCCACTCCTGGATAAACAACTTGTTCCTTCTGAATCAGGAGATCGGGTCTTCGGCTAACGCGGGCGCCGGGGAGCAGGCCCAAGAGCAAAAACCTAGATTGCGCGAGATCTTTAAACGAGGAAATTCAACGATAGAACAAGAAGCATGCTATGCTATGGGAACTCAATGGAACTGGCACTCTGTATGTGCTGCTATGATAGTAAGCTCCTCCTGCTCTCTTATGCCGTTACGCTTACTTGAGCTAGCTCTTATCGGTAAAGAAATTCGATTACTGGGCGGAGAAAAGAGAAGTAACTAACCTTAGATCTCTGGTCGGCTATCAGTAAAGGAACCTTCTGGCCGGTTAGGTTAAGCAAAGAGCGCTGGCAGGGATTCTTTCCTGAAAGTGCGAACGTGAAAGAGCGATCGTGCCCCTAGGTTAACATCAGTTAGCCGTGAAGAACGCAGGTAACCTTACCGGGGTTTATTCGTGAAAGTCAGCTCTGGCTTTCGGCACCGGTTACGAGAACAGTATGAGTTCATTCTGTCCCACTTGGCTCAATCAATAGCCGGAGATTAAATAGCAGCTTCTTCTTTCACATTTGTCCAGCTTATGATGATTCCATTTCAAAAAGCTATTATTCCTCCAACAGTGGATAGGCAAACAAAAGAAAGCAGTCACCCACCAGGAAGGCATAGAGTGAAGCCAGGAAAGGAATTGCTTACTACAGACAGACCCGCCGGTAACACCTCAAAGACCAAGAGCAGCGGATAATCTAACTCTAACAACGGGTATTCATCCCATCTCGAGTTCGAAACTATATTCTCATGTCCTCAACCCCGGTACTCTACTATATGCAACCTATTTTGACACAACTTATTCTCTTCTCAAAGAGCTTCTTCTATCAAACCGCGTATTCTCGGCATCAACCTGGCAAGATCCGATCGGAAAGATAAGAAGCATCTGACTCATAAGCTACTAAGGCCCGAAAGCCTTGCCAACTACGTCTACCTTACTTACTAGCTAGCCTAAGAAGAGAAGTACTTGCCAGCAGTCCAAGCTCACCAGGACCCAGGTGCTGAGAAAAAAGGCTTCAGCTTTCTTCGAGGAAGGGGATGATCGGTTCAGAAGTCGAACAGGTTCCAGCCTAGAAAGCTGAGCAGTTCTCAGAAAGAGTAGTTAATGGTTCACCTGGTAATAGCTGGGATTTCGTATTCTACTTAGAAATAGAAAGCTATGTCTCGAGAACGCCTTCCTTCTAACTAACTAACTAAGGCAATTGGTCTCTCACGTTGGATATAGATGTTGCCAATGCAAGTTAAGCGCGTAAACGACCTGAAGATTGGTGTTGGCATTAGGAGAAGCAAGCTGATAGTGGAACTAGTGGCATTCCTTTTTCGGATAAGAAAGTGACCTCGCCGGCCCTTCATTTGCCCCTCATCTTTATGACTCAACATCTGTAGCGTCATCGAAGTGTAGCTCGGCAATGAGTACCTTCTCTTCTAGCTCTTCGGTGTGGCTTTCTTTAAAGAGACTTTCCTCCTCTGCAGCTATCTCCTACAAGCTTGTTCTTAGGTTGTATAGTAATGGTCAACAAGCGTGGTCATAAGCTTTGCTTAGTCCATGTTTTCGTAGCCGAAGAAAATGTCCTTTGTTATAGGCTTGTCCTTCTAGTAGCTCTTAGGGTTGCTGAAAGTGTGGATGATTTTCCTTTCCTGCAACGCCTACTCAAAACGTTAAACGTTGAGGGGTCTTTCTATGGAAAAAGTTCTGGTCATGGGGTGGGCAGGGAATGAATGGAATTGATTGTTGCGCGGATTAGCCGCGAAAGAGCTTTACAAGCGGCATTGCCGGATTATCGGAATCGTTTCAATGTGAACATTCCGGTAAGCAGTGCCGAAATGAACTGTAATGGCTATTAGAATTAGAATAGGGTAGACAACTCTTTACTCTTTTCTTACTCTCCTTTAAAGCCTTACTTATTACTTAAAGGGCTAGGTAAAGAGCAAGCAGGAATCTTTCCCAATGCGCTAAGGTTATAGGTCAAAAGCAGATTCGAGCAAAGAGAAGACAGTCTTCTTATCGTTCGTGACCCTT